GTCATCTCCTAAATGCACAACACGTTTTCCAGCCGATTTCAATTGCGCAATGATATTGTCTTCGTCAATTGCGGTTCCGGCAAAGTTAGATCCTGCGTCAATAAACGTCGGTAGTGTGCCGGTAGTTAACCCCTTGAGACGCTGTAACGTGGTCGTAGGCGGGTCGGCAATGAACGGGAGGAGAAATGCATCATTCGGTGAATTGACTGCGGTATCGTAGAAAACAGGAATATTATCGTGGTACAGACGAGGTGGTCCACCTTCAACCATTCTCTTGGATGGAACGGTGAAGTCGTATCGTAGGGCATCGATAATGACCACCACGGCTTTGTCGAAGGTCTTGGGGTGCCAACAGCCCTTTCCGGCGCCATCTTTGGGTGCATCGATGCCCAGGTTAGCCGGCGCAATTGCATCGGGGAGATCTTGTAACGGTAGGACATCACATTGCGATTTATCTTCCAGTACCAGCCGGGTCAATAAGAACCCTTTGGTAAAGAAATATATCCCTATTATATGCACAAGGCTATGTCCCAGGGCTTAGCATCATGTATTTTAGATATAAACAGTTTTCATCGAATTGTGAAATTAACTTACCCGAACCACCCAAGTAACAGCAATATGCCTATATGCTGGATCTTAAACTCATTCTCTTTCTCCTTATTCCGCTTATCGTCCTGTTGCTTTGCCCTTTTGGCAAGCTCCGACTGGTCCACTGGTGGCTTCTTTGCGCGCTGAGATGGTTTCCCTGCCCCGGCAGCGCGTTTAGCCTCCTCTTCTGCTAAAAGCTTAGCAAACTTAGCTTTTATCTCGCGGTATTCAGGATTGACGTTCGAGGATGAGGAGGATGGAGTTTGCGCGGCGGAGGCTTTTTGGGAGGTGTTTGGTTTCATGATGGCGCGTCAGATCAAACGGAAGAGCGGGACGACCGGGGAGGGAGCGCCGTTCGGAGGCAGGTATTCTGGTACGGATGGATGCAATTAAATCATGTCGTCCGCTGTTGCTTTAATATTTGGTCAAACGAGTGTAAGAAGCATTGCCAGTTGGTTTGTTGGATGTGAAGCCAATTGGTATTGTTTTTTGCCCCCTTTCCAGCTTGACACGGAACCTCTGACGAACAGCCCACAAAGGCCTTGTTAAAACGTGTATCCGGGGCGATTAGTTAGAGCTACTGGCGAGCGGTAGGAGTTGGAAGCAGCGTGAAAGCTAACAAGAGGGTGGTATCAATCAACCCACACTTTTTGGTAGCTTCACGTTTGGGATGTTTTGCCCAAATTTGATATCACGTGGCTCTACAATGACCCCGGCATTATATTCAGAATAAATAGTTAAATTAATGGATTTACTAAGAAGTATAGCCGAGATACACAAACATTACGATTAACGCAAGTGCTGTGTATAGAAAGGTAAGTGGTTTGGGAGATAAGGAAAAAGAAACAGAGAAAAATGGGGGTCCAATTTGGGGGGGGCGCAGGGGCCGTCCGGTAACATGCCGACGGCACCATGACCAAAGAAGTAGAAAGGTTCATCATACACACCAAATGAAAATAGAGAATAAGAATTAAGAGGGAGAAAACCAATAAGGGACAAGGAAACAGGAGGAGGAGGGTATGCCACAGGGTTACTTACTCACACCCTAGGAACGTTTCAGGGCATGGTGGGTCATGACAAGGAATATACAGAAACAGAACGATCGGAAGACCCAAGCTCGCATGCCTAGGCGTGAGGGGGAAGAGCCAAAAGGGTAGTCGAGCTGGGTAAAATATGAGTATAAAGGGAAAAGAAAAACGCACGCTGCTAGGAGCCATAGGTCCGAGAGGTATCGAAACGAAAAGAATAAACGCCCAAGCGTCGTAGTCGTAAAATGGGAGGATTCACCGCGCGTGGAAGAAGAGGAGATCTATAATTTTTGGGCTGAAGTAGGAAACAAGCATTCATTGTCTATGAATACTGTTTGAGATCTCCTTTTTCTTTGAGGCCGCCCATCCGCTCGAGGTCGAGGGACTGAAATCGCTCGGTGCTGTCAGACTGGTATGGTGGCAGGTCTTCATTGCATGGTTCGAGACCGATGCCGCCTTTTTCACCTATTCTGACAACCACAACCCGGCCAGAGGTGCGCTTGCCAGCAGCATCTTCCTCCTCCGGGAAGGTGATGCGAATTTCAGGGACTGGACTCGAAGGTCGGCTGGACTCTTTCTCATCGACCATGCACTGACCGTATGAGGTGGCGGTGATGGTGAGACGGCGGCGGCTGGTGGTTTTGTCGTAGAGGGGGAGTTCGGACTGGCGGCGCTCCTGCATGAGGCGGCGTCTTCGGTTGAGGAACATCAGGATACCGACCAGTGCCATGGTAAAGAGGATGATAGCAAGCAGGGCAATCAGGAGGTTGACGAGGGTAGGGTTAAGGTCATTGTTGCCACTCTCCTTGTCATCACCGCGCTTGAAAATGGCGCGCAAGTTGTCCATATTGCTTTGCGGTTGTGGTGTTTTGTTGTATTTTCGGGTGGAGTATTGTCGGAAGACTAAGTATATTTTCGAAAAGAACGGCGGTTATCTGGTCAATGAAGGTCTGTATTCGGGCAGGACTGGCGTGATATCCAGGCAGAGTATTGCTGTATGGTCGTGAATGAATAGAAAGATCGGTAGGTCGTCAAGGCGAAGAAGATAAAGAGCGCGGGTCAAGTTGCGAGCGTCAATCAAGCAGAGAATGAACGGACAGTGAGGCAGCCAGCGAAAGAATGAATCTGGCACCCACTAGGGAGAGTCAAAGGAGGCAGGAGAAGAAGAGGAGCAGCAGTCGAGCTCGAAGCGCCGAAGACGTGCTGCCGGTGATGTTGTTGAAGGTCGAGAAAAGGAAGAAAAGAAAGAAACGAAAGACGAAGCGAGGAGGCAGAAAAAAGGGCGGTGCCAAAAGGGGGAAAAAGGGCGGCAGCACCCAGGGCAGACGCCGCTAGTCCTGAAGAAGACTAGTGTTGGAGGCATTGGCCAATAGAGATGAGGAATTCTCCACTTCGCGCCGGTCCCGTGGGAAATTCAGCCAATGAGAGCAGCGAGGTGCCTTGCTTGCTTAGTCAGAGACCCACCAGCTTAAGCCGTTTAAGCATAAAAGGGCGAAAAAAAAGATAAAAAAAGAAACACAAGAAAGATATTAAAAAAACAAAGACGAACAAAAGAGGGAGCCTGATATTCTACAGAGTAGGAGTCGCAGTGCGAAGACACGCCTCGACAGAGGGCGGTGGTGCTGTCGGGGTGGGCGTGCGAGATGGCTTGCCGCCGTGTGTGTGGTCGGAGGGCCTGCATCGTTGCCCTGCCAGACATGAAGGAGCGTCATTGGCCCACATGCCCTGCCAACAACTGCAGGGAAGCGCCGGCGCTATCGAACCACAAGAGAGGCTTTCACACCAGCAGGTTGTGTGACTGCGAACTCTAACACACCATCCGCTGGCCAGGAATTCATGCTAATATTATTATTATTCATATGCTCTCGATAGGTGAAGATGCAGCAGAGTACTCCATACGGAGACGTTGGTTTCATTTGCCGAGTTATTGTCACAATAATGCAGAGGTTGACGCTCCCTGTGATACGGCAAGGTAACTCCGAGTGACGTGAGAACAAAAGTCGATGGCGAGAGCATTCTCAGAACACCCTTGCAGGACTGGCCATTATTATTATTATCATCGGAGTGTGGCGTGGTGAGCGGCAATTGCTCAGGTACGGAGATATGAGGCCTTTCCCCGGCTCGACTGGCCTGGTCTGGCTGGGTACGACTACGGAGTACGGTTTTTTGCCATCGAGCAAAGAAACGTCTCGCCGGACAGAGGGATGCAGGTCTTGGGCATCGAACAATCCAGCATTTTAATCCCAGGTCGTTTAAAAGAAGATAATCTAAAAATGCCTCGTTTTGAGGCCCAATATATATCCCCCTGCCACCACTTGCTTTCTCCAAAATACAAGATAGGAGAGACCTCGTTCCGTTCGTCCAGCGGACCAGACCCGAGAAGTTGACAGCGGTTCTGGCCATCGTGCCGCCATTTCGACTATTTTTTGTCTATCGAGATAGGTTGACCTCCTGGGTCTGGCGGAGGTTTTCTAGCTACGTACATAGGACTATTAGATACTTCCCTGTTCGTGTCGGTGAATTCCCTGATCGTCGCTCTTCGCCGGGAGCCAGAGGCCAGTTTGCACCGAGCCTGTGGGATACTGGACGGGGATTCCTATTTTTATAGCCTCCTTTCTCGCCTCTTCAGCAGGGTTACCGCCAGGGATTTTCGCTCTGAAAAGCTCAGGCCGCTTGGCCCCCTCTCATGCAAGGGGCCGAGTGAACTAAAGAGAAAGCGACATGTTATTAATGGTTAATTAACAGGAGTTAAGACACTATGCGTCTATCAATTTCGGAGTTTTCTTTTTTTTTTCCCTGGATATAAAAAGTATCCGTCGGTATGCTGCCCGTTTAACCCACGTTGTTTATTTGGTAGACGCTAAGTTGCCGGTGGATTCTTATGAGGCCATTATTTACTTTCACTGCCACTGATGAAGTCGGTTTGATACCCAAATTGGAATACCCCATAGCGGTAAATAGATCTTTGAGACTGCTGGCGCAGACGGGAGGAGAGGTGGTCATATAGATCGTCATTTTCTGTACCATCTTGTGCCTAGTTCCGGTCCCAAACCACTCATTTACCGTGCATTGCATGGAAGAAGTTGGAAGCCCGGCAGTAGGGCTGCCTCCACTATTTGGATATCATACCAGGCGCCGGAGAGCATGCAGTGGAAAGTCTAGAATATAGTAGTAAGTAGTAGTTGGTGGTGGTGGTGGTGGTGGTGGTGGTGGTGGCCCTAGATGGGTTGGGAGGGGTGGTTAGACGAGAAATACCTGTTTGATATACCGTCCGTTCCGTCTTTATATACGAGAGCGTACGGAGTACAAATAATGGATATATAGCTTAAAGAAACGAAATTGAATGTGCATTTTAGGGATCAACTATTTTTACTAGACAGTATGATGGTGGCAGCTCACCTTTCTACAGTTGAACAACGCTGTACCCATCTATTCAGCATGAAGTATTTGCCTTGTACCGAACCCTCCCACTGTTCTACCGATCGACGGTGGCTGATAGTCGTCCTTCCCCGTACCTGGCTTGGATCCGAAGAAGAAAAAAAGGGGAAAAAGCAACAATCTTCCTCTTTTTTTGGTCGGTTCCTGAGAGCAAAAGTTGGTTTTCTTCTTTTGTCACCAGCCATGAGTTCAACCACGGATCAGCAGATTAAGATGAACAGGTACTCCAACTATGAAGTCATCAGTCCTGCTATAAAAGAATAATCTTGGTCGCAGAGCTGTACAAGTACCAAATTTTCAAGTTGGGTTTAGTAGTGTATCAGTGGTGCAGGCCCCCAATCCTGCACCGGGTGATCAGCTTCTCAGCATAGCCCAGCTTTCTGGGCAGACCACACTTTATTGCTTTTTTGCTGTTTCCCCAGAGTCCGAATGGTTATACCAGACCACCAGAGAGATATAGGACGGACTCGCGACTGTGTGCATAAAATCTGTGGATATAGCAGAGCATTCCCCCATGCGGTAGCGAGACTGGTACATGTACAAACGAAGGAGATGAGCATTGTGGCAGTGCTCCCAATTGCACATCTACCAGCCCCAGTCCACGCAAAGAGAGCTAACAAACAGTGTCGTGTGCTACCCCACGCAAGTGCAATGGCTAACAAATTTCTGCACAAGCAGGCCAGGTCGGGGCTGAAGTCGACAAGCAGAGAAAAGAAACAGAGACTGTCTACCAGTGGTTGGTAGCTTGTACTCCATACAGACTGATTTCGACGGCTGCTGGTTGCTGCCTGACTGCTCGTATCTGCGATGTACAGGAATCGATCATGACACGTATATGCCATCTCCATCCTGTTCAGCTAGGCGAGGCCACAATAAGATGACCAGTTAAGCAGCCGAGTAACTGTTGGGAGGTTTGACGAACCAGCAAGATGTAGCTTGATGTCAGTACTCGTCGTGCCGTCCGTTTTACGACGAGGACGGGTAACCGTACGGAGTACTCCGTACTGTACTCCATCATAACCCTCTCCTCTCTGTACGAGCGAAAGCACTCCCAGAGACGGTTCCAAACCTTGGAGTACGGGGGAGGGGATAGAGACTAGGGCCAGCGTATGGATAGAGGCAGTGGACATGCCAATTATATGTGCGTAATATGGACGATTATCCCCATCCCCTATCATTCATCCCTCGTCTTCCAATGATAAAAACGGCAGGCAATTCCACACCGGGCCGGGCAAAAGGTCACACAGCAAACACACTCACATATAAACGCTGCCTGTCATTCGAAGTCTCTGTACAACTTTCCCGCTAGAGTATGGGGGGCCGCATCGGTACCCCAACTATCGATCGTAAGTTAGTAAATTACCATGAGAGGACAAGCCAGAGCCAGAACGGCAATAATGGGAAGGACTATCAGGTTGAGGAGTCAAGGGTGTGTTGGCGTATAAGTATATGGATTTGCTTCTTTGTGGATCGTCTAGTTTCCCAGGATCAAGTGGACCCCTATACCGGCCTTAAAACGATCTGCTAGGTGGGCCACTGGCCCTATCTTTGAGACTTTTAGCCTCCCCCCCTGCGATGCTCTTCTTCATAACCGCTCAAGTAACTAAAATGGCCGAGGCGTTTTTCAGTTGTGTCGGGGGGGAGGGCCTGGAACCTTTTGCACGGAGTCCACCTCTCAAAATAGGTAGATATCGGGTTGTGGAAAGAGAGCTGTAAAACATGATAGAAGGGTCTCCGTCATGGCGAGATTGGGGGGGGGGGGGTGTAGCTTCCATACCACTACTCACACACCCTGACGTTGGCAGTCGACCATGAGCCATGAGACGAGTAGAAGATATTCGCCGATCCGTGGCCCATTGGCCTCCGCGCTGGTCCACCGTCGCGATTGGCGCGATGGTACGGGAGAAAGCAGAGGTCCCATCCATTATTATTCCTCCCTTGAAAAGCCAAAAGAAGAAAAGAAAAGCCAAAAGGGAAAAGAAGAAGGGCGAACTGCTTCTGCTTTCCTGCCCATCCTCCACCCTCTCTCCTCCCCGGGTCCCCTTCGACGGGGCTGGGCCATGACGGACAAAGATGCTGTACACAGCAGGACGATGTACGATGAAGGCGAAATGTTGCACATAGGCGGGTAATACCCAGGGCAGGCTAGTGTGTGCTTGCGGCCCCATCGTCCCCCCCCCGGCCTGCGCTCTTCTCGCTGCCTGCCTCCGTCTTGGGATGATGCTCATGCTGCATGTCCTAAAAAGCTTCCCCCTTCCCGTAGCTGCATATTCCGTAGGCCCTGAACTGTGTACCCATCCGCTCGAACTAAGAGCAGAGATGCTTGAAAAAGAAACGAGCGAAAACAGGAAAAAGTGATACGTACAGCGGGCCAAGTTGGCCTCTTCTCTCCCTTTCCCACTGCTAGGCTATCTTGGCCCTTCATTCTCACCTCGCCGTGACAAGGTGACATCCAGCCAGCGAGAGGCAGGCGGGCGTGTGCGGTTTATCCAGAGACAGAATGGAGTTCAAGCGGTCCGTCTCTGGCTGCTGGCGAGCTTGATAGTTAGCTTGTCGCCGGAGGCCGGTAAGAGTATTATTGGCAGCACCTGGGCCCGTCAGGTCGGCCGCAGCGTAGAACAGCCAGCCGGACAAATGGCCAGCCATGGCCAAGCGTAGGTTGCGGGCGTCGAGCAGCCTCTCCTCGACGTTTCTGGCCGCGGTATTCGCCTGTGTTTGGGCGTAGATATATTTAATATCAAATCCTGGTGCACGACGGTTAGCATCCGGCATCCCTGAAGTAGCTTGGGATAATCCTCAACCTTCGTTCTGCTCTCCCGTCCGCATCGTCAGGTCATTGTCGTGTACCGGCCTTGTCCCTCGCTGCCCGTTGCCTTTGTACGCCGTAGTTTCACACGCTGTGCGACCTCTTGCTGATACTTCTTTGATTTTTGCTTCTTCTGCTGGCCGTGGGTGGCTTTTTTTCTTCTCTCTCTCTCTCTCTCTCGTCTCTGCGTCCGCTTTCTTCAGGCCAACCACCACCAACCACCACCACCACCAAAACGACCTCCCGGACGGCGACAACCACGACGACGACGACGACGACGAGCAAAAGTCCCTTAATTCGAGCGGACAGCGAGGCCTCCAGACGGCAGTCGACTTTTTGTCCGTCTTCGCCTACCATCGAGAACTGGACGGAAGCCCTGCGGTGCCATCATGTTGCCGTCTGTGTGACAGCTTCATGCGCTTTTGACCTCTCTTTGTCCTCCATCGCAAGCCGCTGCCTTTGCTGAGCTGCGTCTCTTCGTTTCCTCCTCCGTCTCGCTGAAACAGAAAGCAAACGCTGCTCCGTTTCGTTTCGTTTTCGTTGCTGGCCGCTCGCAGTCCGCAGTCTCGCAGGTGTTGCGTGCAGACAGAGATCTCCGCCAGCGTCCACCACCACCACCACCACCAACCACAACCACAACCACCAACCACCAGCACCACAACCAGCATATAAACGACCACGGCAAAGAGAAAGCAAGACAAGCGTCCGTCCTCGTCCTTTCTGCTCCCGCTGGGCCCCCTGATCCGCATTCGATCTTCCCGCCGCCGCTCTCTCCTACGTCTTCTCGAACCTGGTCTCCCCCAATCGTTGTCCATACCGAAACAAAGCTTTGCTTGCACTGTAAATAGAAGCTCCGGCAGCTCAGAATCCCTCCTCTCGGAACGGCCCCCACGAGAGAGACACACATATACACCTACATACCGCACGCACGCACGTCAAGCTCCTCGCTCACTGTACGTTGCCTTGCCGCCGTTTTGTTGTGACCGTTGGAGGCAGAGCCAGAGCCAGCCCCAGCCCCAGCCAGCCAAACAGACGGATAGACGGCCGGAGGGGGACTGCTGTATGAACTGTCGAGACTGGTCGCGCTTCACCCAGGGGCGTATAATGTGAACACCAGAGGTCAGTTGGAGCTCTTCCTTTTCTTCTTCCTTCTCCCTCCTCTACGGAGTACTTCCTCTGCCCTTATCAATTCCCAGGCGGCTGCTTGCCGCGATTGTGCTGTCAAACGCATCCCGACCTTGCCCCATTCAATTGCCTGCATTCGGGTGCCTTGCTCTTAATTACCCTTCACTAAGACCCTCTGCTGCTTGTTTCCTTCTTCCCCTTCACTCTCCAGCCATTTCATTCCCTTCTTATTTCTTCACCTTCGCTGTCTTGCCTGTCCGAGAGAGACCTGGTTGGTTCCGTTCAAGGGTCTCATTCCACGGTTCAAGGCCGTGTCACTCTACCTTCACCATATATCAACTCTCCCGTGCCATAATATTTCTTCTGGTCTCGATCTACATTATTCTATATCCATCTACTTCTCTCTATCTGTGCAAGCTCTGGTCCCCCTTTCCCTGTTTCTTCCTTTCTTCCGTACGGCTGTCTTCTGTACATGATCTAGTTTGCTTTGGCAACAGCTTGATACTACTCCTCCTTCCCCAACGTCCAAATATACACATTCACACTGCTTTCCCCGTCACTAAAAGTTGCTGAAATATTCACTGCTACAGTTCACTAACTGCTTAAATCTAGCGAACAGTGACTTATCAACACTAATTTTATTCACGCGCAAGGCCTCTTCCTGTCTATGCCTATAATCTCTCGCAAATAAATTTGCTGCCCCTGGAACATATTCCTCTTCTTCCTTTCTTCCTCTTTTATCTATTTCTCCCCCGCACATTCAGACCTTCTTGCTCCTGCAGATAATCCGTTAGAAATCTCTTCCTCTTTTTCACTACACAAAGCTCCTTTTGATTTCCACGTTAAACCCCCCTTGTTATCATTGCATCCTGTCTATCCGAAGCACTATGGCTGCTATAGGGATGTCCAACGCAGCTTCACAGCAGGCGGTAAGTAAAACACTATGGTCTAAATGTATAGACCACTGCTAACTCTTCCTTAGGCGCGTGCAAATGGTCGAAACTCAACCCCTTCAGCTGGCTATGCTAGTGAAAGAACCACTCTTGCTCAGTCTTCTGCTGCGTTTGGAAGTGGAGGCTGGAACAGCAATATTTGGTCACGTTCCGCTATGACTGGGATTTCTAGTACCATGGTGGAAAATACTCACCCAAAAGGTATAGTTTCCCCATCTAGTCTTCCATGACTTTTTCAAAATTCTCCATGCTAACCCCAGAAGTGGCTACTACTGCTGGCGGAGATGCAGTGACGGGATCTCGCTCTCTTTTGCCTTCATCGGAGGCCGAAGGCTGGGCTGGACAGCCTCTTCCGTGGAATTTTTCCCCTACCTCAAGCTCTCATGCGTCTTCGGGAAATGCAAGGTCAAACACTCCTCCAGGACACTCCACAACTGTCAACCCTATTACTCGAAGTGAAACTCTATCCTATTTAGCATCAGCCCAACCATCCGCTTCAAACATGCCAAATAGCAACCGGGTTTCAAACTGGAGTCATTATCACACAACCTGTGATTCTCCAGCGTCTACCACTGCGTTTGACAATGGTGTTGGAAGAAACAGTCAGCATGCATCTACTATTAATGGAATCACAAACGGAAGTAGTGCACACAATGGGCTATCCGCGCAGGAACCGCAGATGAATCCATTTGACCATGGCAACACCCTCCCATTCAGGGAAAACTCCAGGTCAAATGATCAATCCTCCTACTTTCCTCCAGCCTCGTCCATAAACCTGGCTTCAATGACTCCCTCCTCGAGCCATTTTGGAGGTGGCACTCCACGTCATTCGATATCAACAGGTCACGGTAGGCCCAGTTTAGCTGAAGATGAGCTTGCAGCCGCCTTATCAAAAATAGACGTCAAGGTTGCTGGCGCTTTAGCTGAACACCGACAACAAGCTCTACCTCCAAGACCGTCATTCCAACAACGCGCATCGTATGACGCTGTCTTGTCCCGTGCCAATTATAACATCGAGCCTGAGGAGCCCCGTACCCAGTACGCAACATACTCCCGAACAATCTCATCTCCTTCCGTCACTTTACCCTCCCTCATTAGAAGACAAGATCGCACCCACCCAACTCTCGAGCGCAGCTCTATCCCCGGCTACTATTCTAGCGTCGATGGTCAGATCCAGGAGTCCATGAGCCAGGGGGTGTACTCTCCAAGATACCGTTACGCTGCTGGTGAGCGTAGCCCTGAAGAACAAGCTGAACTCCTAGCCCAGGGTTTGCGAGCAACCTTGCAACAGCAGCAGGAGCAAGCTTACCCTTCCGTGGCCATGAGCCAGCTCCCTGGAGGTATTCACCTTCCTCCAGGCTACAGATATGCGGCATTCCAACCCCCCCAGCCTAACGGTATCCATCCCGTGCAACTACCCCTCTACTCTATGGGCCCATTCAGCCCTGTTTCCCCGTCGCTGATTCGGCCTTCCACTTCAGACCAAGATTCCAACCAGGTGACGCGTAGTCCAGTCCTACAGGAGTTCAGAGCAAACAACAAGGGGAACAAACGATATGAGTTGAAAGATATCTACGGCCACATTGTCGAATTCTGTGGTGATCAGCATGGCTCTCGCTTCATTCAGCTCAAGCTTGAAACTGCGAACAGCGACGAAAAGGAGCGGGTGTTCCAGGAGATTAGGCCCAATGCCGTACAGCTTATGATGGACTTGTTTGGCAATTACGTTATCCAAAAATTGTTTGAGCATGGCAACCAGGCACAGAAACGTCTGCTCGCACAGCAGATGCAAGGCAACATTTGCTCACTCTCTGTACAGACGTATGGATGCCGCACTGTTCAAAAGGTAAGCTTTCATTCAATTACCATAATCTACACTTACAGGACTAACCAAGTCTTAGGCACTTGAGCATGTCCTCGTTGAGCAGCAAGCCACCATGGTCAAGGAACTTGAAGACAGCGTGATGAAGTGCGTTACCAATCAAAACGGAAACCATGTCATCCAAAAGGCAATTGAACGTGTTCCAAATCAGCACATTCGATTTATCATTGATGAATTCCGTGGCCAAATTCCACGTTACGCCACTCATACTTACGGATGTCGGGTCATCCAGCGCATGCTAGAGCACTGTCCTCTGGCTGACCGTTTATCCATTCTCGCTGAGATTCACGCTTGTACTCCAAGCCTCATTTCCGACCAATACGGCAATTATGTCATCCAGCACATAATCGAGTTTGGAGAAGAGGTTGACAAGAACAAGATCATTTCCATTGTCCTTGGCCAAGCAGTTCATTTTTCCAAGCACAAGTTTGCCAGCAACGTGGTAGAGAAGAGCATCACCTTCGGCACTATGGAGCAACGTTTAGCCATTACCCGGATTCTGTCTGCTGTCAACGAGAAGGGAGAGGGCCCCTTGCTTGGCCTGATGCGCGACCAATACGGCAACTATGTCATTCGTAAGTTTCTCTCTTCGGATTCTTTCACAATGTCAATATCAGCATAGCTAATGGTTGGTATATAGAAAAATCCCTCAGCGTCTTGGAAGGTGACGACTACAAGATGCTTGTAAGCCGAATTCTGCCATTGATGCCTTTGCTGAAAAAGTGCAGCTACGGCAAACAGATTGCCGGCATTGAAGGGCATCTTCACAAATATGGAAACCCAGCTCCTTCATCCCCAACCTCGCCTGCGGAGAGCGGCAAACCACTAGGCTTGGATGTTGACAATAACGCGAACAGTCTCGCATACACTCGTGATAACAGTCCTGTCTACGATCTTTCCCCCGTCACCGCAGACAGGAGCTCTATACCAAGCGCAAACACTAGCGTATTAGAAGAATGTCCGAATGAAATGGCAAAGGAGGACGGCAGTGCCATCCTCAAGCCAGCAGCAGTCATATAATATCCACAATCCAATGAAGATTTCAAGGGCCATTTCACAATCCAGCCCGGTCCGACCCAATCTAGCGAGGCATTATGAAATTTGTACACTTAATCTAATCGACCACCTTTCAAATAATGGAAACGAAAACGGATATATACTTTTTTAGCATGGGGTTTAGGGATGGGAGGAACATCACTCGTCGCTCTCGGTCGCTCTCGGTCACGTTTTCGTCCATCGCATCGCGTCGCATTGCATTGCAGCAACTTCAAGCAAACAATTTGCCTGTCTAGGCATCTCACCCCCCGATTAGCGCTGACATTTTCCATTCCATTCTTTTATTTTTCAAACAGGTATAAATGGCGGTTTCTTCTCTGGTTTCCTCTTCACAATCCATAGTTATCTTCCAACGTACCTACTTATCCTCACAATCTTCCTTTTTTTCCCTTCGAACTGAAGATACATTGCGTTCTCCTACTTCCATTTTATTTGCCTGCCCTTTTACACGCCTCGCATTTCCCCCTTTTTTCGGTCACGGTGACATTTTCATCATCGATATTACTGCTATCATGGGTCTTCAGGGAGTTTTTTTCATTACCAACTAGTTTAGGGAATGGTTTCTTTTCCAACGGTACGAGATAACATACGGTGGAAAGGAACACAGGGCTGGCGTCCAAGGCATGTTATTCTTGTTATCTCTTCAGTCGATTCTAGTTGATCTTGCTTTTCTCTGCTTCACATTTCACGGGTACTCGGTTTTCATTATACATTCAATCACCTCGACCGAATAAAACCTACAAATGAACAGGCTTTTCCTCTACTTTTTATTTATTTTTATTTTTATTTTTTTTTCTTTTCTTCTTCTCTTTCATGGGCACGACAGAATCAGGAAATTTTCTATCCTCTGCATCCTTTGAGGGGAACTCATGAAGTTGAAAAGCGGCTTAAGTCTTTTCTATGGACATCACGGATAACAGGCACAGGGTTGATGTTGACACTTCCATATTTTGAGACCTCGTTTCTTTCTCAGCCAGTATGTTTATATCTCTTAAGTTCATCAATGGCTGCTCTTCTGGTTTGCAATTTTCTTCCTTCATCCTAACTATTGATTTGTATTGCGACGGTCGAGTCATCTCTCGCCCCGGTTCTCGATATTTTACAGAGATTAACCTCGCAATGATAGACGCAATATGTTCAGCAGTTTTGCTTAATCAGTCAGAATCGTAGTTCTTTATAACCAATTAACGAGGTCTTCAGCCGAATCTCCTTGCTTTTTCCCTGCTATTGATTTCATGTTCGTGTTAATCTAGCTTTCAGCGAACGCTTGAGGGAGGTCGGGTCTTAAGGTGGTTTCTCGCACTTTGTTGGCTCATGGCATTTTGATAGACAGCCAGAAGGTTCAAATAGTCTCGTTTCTTCCCGTTTGACACCCACCAGTGACAGAGATCGGCAGTGAGTTTTGACCCATTGCGAGGAGCCGACGTAAGTGCGAGGATACATGGAGACGAAGTACAGGAACTAAAATGAAAAACGACGTCATCGGCTACGCGGTCACAAGAAGCTACGGCTGCGTGAAGAACAAGTTTTCAAAAACCAGCGATTTATTATAATAGTTTATAACAGTTTCAACGCTTACTTAACGAAAAGGGGTTTGGGGCTCGTGATGGTTTTCTTAGTTTTTTGGATGTTAAACCCGGAGGAAGGGTCAACATGCGTCGAGAAGGGGGAAAGAAATCGAAGCACAAAACTTTTTAATCCGTTATCTTAGCAAGGGGGTATACCTTAAAAAACAGAGCTTGTCGTAACATTGGAGGGGAGGGTGAAAGGGGATAATATATTAATGCAGGACGGAGAAGAATCGGGGGTTGGAAGAGTGCAAGGCATGATACATCGTGATGTTGGCAGGGAAGGAAGCGAAATTCAGCGAGTCCAGCGTGAGAAATCCAGGCATTGGAAGGCATTAGCGTCCATTGTAAGGTTGCGTTCTGTACCCAGGCCGCTACGGAGGCTGCCGTCCTCGGCATACTGTTTGGTATTGCGTCGCGAGGATGGGTATGAGCCATCGCCGTACGTACTACCGCTGCCTGTGAGGTTGTTTGAGGAGGCGTCTGGGCTAGTGATGTCAGGGGAATAGCAGGCGTATGCACGATCCCGAAGACGACGGATTTCTCTCAAGCGGTTCTGCCAGGAAGAAATGTATTCGCCGCCGTGGCTACAGACAAGTGAGAAAACAGATGCATTCAACCCAATGATTCTGACAAAAGCAGCAAGATTCTTCCCACATATGACCTTTGGGATGGCCGCGGCAGATAATTCAGGCATGCCAGGCTTGCTCAAAACCTTGACGGTGTAGAGCCTGTGGTTGAAGTCGTCGACAGTGAATTTTCCTGCTTTGTCTTCTGAGCCTATTCGGGAAGCTGGCGTGATGACGATATCAACGAAGTTGAACTGCGTTGAGATGGTATTGAGGTCAAACTCGGAACCAGACCGGTTGAAAATAATGTTCACGAAGTCATTGCCGATGTGCTGCTTCTTGTTTACGCATTGCGGGTCTGCTTCCAGGTTCGTGGGCATCATGGTAGCGATATGGTATACAATCTCAGAGACTCGATCACGCCAGGCATAGATATATTTGCCATCTCTCTCATGATGGAGGCCCTGAGGGTTAAACTTAGGGTTCTCGATGGAAACTTTAGTTCCAAGACTTGCGATGAAGAGTTCATAATCGGGGCTGCCGTGGTCGTTGGCGAAAATTTCGGTCTCGTCGGTCTGGCCCTCACCAATGTACAAAACTCCAATCTTATGACCATCAACAATACTGTTCCTATCAAAGGCGCTAATTGCTCGTCGAGTAAAGTCATCGTCAGGCAATGGCAGTGGCTGTAATGGGAGTGCTGTTGGGAATGCAGAGGCGGTCATCTGCAAGAGAGCATGACTCGGTAGTACCGAAGTTTGAGTTGACGGGTCGTCAGAGAGAGAATATGAGCGGGGGTTAGTGGGAATCTGATGGGGCAGGACTGGTGCAGTTCGCTGTTGGAATATGGAGTATGTGGTCCCAGACGCTTGTCTCTTGGTGACCTGATTTAGACCCGAAGCACATGCTGTTTCGATGGTCACAATACTGGTACCAACAATCCAAGTTCTCTTCACTACTGGACCGTCGGATGGCGAAGGTGGGAAATTTTCGAATGGAATGGTGTCTCCCAAGTCCGAATATGCAACTCGCTGCATCATGTCGATGAACACCTGGCTCTGTTCTTCAATGACTTCTCTACCCTGCTCATCATTGAAGAGTAGCCGTTTTGTGATCCAACCAACATGGTTAGGCCGATCCTGTAACTTAAGAGATAGGAACCAAAACACCATAACGTGGTATGTCAGGTGGTAGACATATCTGGCAGCATTTTCCCCACCATGAATGTCAACTGCCTCTGCCGGTGGGTTAGAAATAGGATCTTTTGAGCCATTGCTAATACGCGTGGGCATGGAAGCAGACCGGCTGTTGGCAGCCTCGCTATTCTTGTATCGTTGTTCTCTCGAGGTCTGGAGGTAACGAATGCAGATACCAAATACAGTCCGGATTTCTTCATCGCGGAGATTGACGTAAACTTCGGGCAAACGGGCAAGTAAAGCGAGGAATTCAAGGATATGAACCGCAATGTGGGATCGGGTGATAACCTTAGACATCTTGTCAAGAATAGCGTTTAATGACTTTGTTACCGACAAGGGGATTTCATGGCAGCACACGCTCAGTGCGTGGATACATCCACGAGACGTACCCTCCCATGATCCAATTCCATACATAAACGAGCGAACGAGCTCGTCCTGCTCGCCTTTTGCAAAGTGTGCATGGAAGCTGATAAGCATTGTCAGAGCTTCTAGTAGGCAGATAGCGATATCCTTCTTTTTCACTCCTGTCCATCCAAGTGGTTCAGGGAAGCTCTCATTTTTAATCTGCTCGCACAAAACACTTCGAAGCAGCGTAATTTGAGGAATTGCTGCACGGAAAAAGTCCCGATTAGCAAGTTGAGCACTGACGTGAGCAGAAACATAGCTGTAGATATCCCAGTCTTTCTCGCGCTGAAGAAGAGCAATGATGGCCTCAGCCCAGAGGTTCACTTTCAATACGATGGTGGTATTATGTTTATCGTTGTTGTTTGGCTCTTCGCTTTTTTGCTCTTCGTCTTTTTGCTCTTCGCCTTTTTGCTCCTCGGCCTTTTGTCCTCCTTCCTTGCCTTGAGCTCTAAATGCGTAAACATTGCTTCCTAGCTTGAGAACCGTCATGTCAGGTAGCTTGCTCTGGTCATCAAAGGCCCATATTGGTGCAACCCATCGCGATGGGCGTCGAGAGATAACACGATGGCTATGGCCTCCTATCGGGGTTACAGAATGGTCTTTCAGAGATGATCTGCTATTAGGAGTGGATGATGTATCGTTATCTTTTGAGCGTTCTGTAGATGACTCTTCACTGGCAGTCGATTTGGTTGATTCGGCAGTTCGCAGCATGCTCGCAGTCAAGTGGCCATTGTCTATGAAAGATGCGATGTGCACAACACCGGAGGTATCGCATCGAAGCCGGAAAAGTAGTCGGAGGGCTGAGAGACGGGAGTCAGAAGGCCGGCTCGTCGACAACGCAATGTCTATCAGCTTCTGGTATACTTTCAGAACAACTTGAGATTTGGTCTCCAGCCCTTTTAGGAAGATGCGGATGAGTCCCCATGTCGTCGCGTCACTGAGAGACGGTGCAAGCGTGTCCGAGGCCAAAACATAGTGCGGTACCGGCTTGGTCCCGGAAGGGGACATGTCGTCTGTATTTTCATCGGCATTCATGGGCTGGCTTAGGGTATCGACAATGAGGTTGAGTGTATCTTCGTCTGAGCTGGCTGTCCCGTCCACCAGAAAAGCTACCAATTCCTGAAGAAACAGGTACGAATCTTCTTCGGTGAAATCCTTAGTAAGGGCACTTACAAGACCCTCCTTCAGATATAATTCTGGAGCATTTTCACTGAAATATGCATCTCTAAAAGTTGCCAAAGCAAGTATGCGAGTTTCGGGGGCCTTTTCACGGTCCAAAATGTAATCTTGCACCAATTTCCAGGAGTAAGTGACCCAACCGTCTGAAGCGGATGGATGGCACAGCCTTTCAGCTCTCAATAGACGTATAGCTAGTTCTGCCTGAGAATGGGTAAGGTGTTTATGGGTGTCAGCCAACAAACGCCATGCTTCGAGCTTTTGAGCCTTGCTCAAATTCGGCCAAAGCGATTCCAGAGAAGCTGAAATGCGGGTAAGATTGGCGATTATGTTGGAGCGTATGTCATCTGCCAAGGAGGCTTTAGATGGAGGAGTAGAGGCCGCTGGGAGGGGGGCGGGAGAGAAGTTTGAAGTGGGAGAGGTAGGGGCGGTGATGTCGATGGCTCGATCCGAGCAAGCCAGCATGACATTAACAAACTCCGACCAGTCGTGTTGAAGGGCGACCTGCGAAAATTCACCCTGTAACGCGTTAAGACAAACTTCTAGGATGTCTGTATCGATGCGGCCGTCCTTTCGAAGCGAAGCTTGGTGCAGAGAGGCGATGAGAGGCTCAAAGTCAATCGTAGGCATCCCATCTTGACCATATGCAACTAGTAAATCACGGAAAATGTCAACAGCGCCGCGTGTGACGTTCAGGTTCCTGTCAGGTCGTTCGGTAGTCTCCATGAGGAACGTATGAAGATTCTGTATCATATCTGACTGTTTGCTAGACTTGGCAAGACTCCGGACGGCTCTTGACGTTGGGCCTGCTAACGACTTGACCGAAGCGTGAATGCTGCACAAGACTTCGAGTAACGGAATGAAGCTGTCATCAGGGACACCACAAGTGGCGATGATGGCATCGAAGACAACCAGGGAATTTTTGATATCCACGGCAGCACTAGTCTTTCTGCAAACAGTGAATATCTGGTCGAGAACGAGTTGGATAACCTCCGGCCCAGGGGGGTGGCGTTGTAGAGTCACAACATCGACGATATGTTGAAACAACTCGCCCAAGATGGCCTCATCGAGAGTAGCACCACTGGGCCTCTGTCCTCTGGACCGCTTAATCTTCGATCGTATAGCAGCGGTTTGTTCGTACAGTGGTACAATCCATGCAGCAATTATCTGTAGAACGGGCTCATAGGTGAAATCAAACTTCCTCCCGTAATCTGAGAGGGAGATAAGCGCCTTTACTCGACGAGCAATGACATCCGGATGTGAGGGCTGAGAGATAGAGCGAAAGAGGGACTTGCGGCCGGCTAGTGACAGATCCTGGCGGGCAGAGACATTTTCCAGCAGAATTCCGCCTGAGGTACGTGCTTCCGACGAACTTGGGTGATCGATGAGATAGGCAGCCTGCTCCCAGAGGGTGATAACCTGGTCACCACTGAACCCGTGTAGATAGCGTACCGCCTTCTCGGCCTCGTCGGCAGCACTCTGGAGAGGCTGGTCCGCCGCCAGATTATGAAGGATCGTATCGAAACTCGGCGTGTTTGATGCATCAGACGCACCCGCAGCCACGCTGCCTCGATGAAGGGCCTCGAATCCAAACGTTACTCGGCTGCCACGTCTGCCTTCCATCTCGGGTGACAACGCGCCTCCTGCGTTCTGCGCATGTAAAACCGGTGACTGCGACTTGGGGCGGCCTACCGCGAGAGTCTTGAAGACGTCGGCGAAGGATGAGGTAGACGGTTTGTTTTGTGGCGCTTGGGGGACATCGTCGGAAGACATCCGCCCTGACGGGCGAATGAGTCAAGGTCCTGATGGCCAGGACAGTGACAGGATGGCTTGTTCACTGCTGCGCTTAGTCGTAGGCTTAGTCGTAGAGCGTCGCTTGTATCCCCTTTCTTCCCTTCTATCCCGTCTCTTGTTGGTATTGATATTGTGAATTTTGGTTTTGTCCAGCTTGTTGGCTGAGGATAAAAGGCCAGGTCTCCTATATCCGCGCCAACATTGTAAGGTCTTTGGACATTAGGCTGTTATATACTTGTATCGGACAGGGGAGCAGGATCAATCTGCAGCCGGCGATGATGTCTTCTAGCACTGTGACCTGGTCAGCAGCTTATTAACAAGAGCGTGGTCATGCCTATCAAAATGGCGTTTTGAACTACCAAAGTCCACGCCAAGCGCGCTACTTGATAGCAAGACAAAGATAGCCCAAAGGAAGGGAATTGCGGGGTGGTTTAGTTTTGCTCACCTATTCAAACAAGCAGCTTTATAGGGGAGGTATCAAAGCAGCAAAACAGTCACCATCAAGCTAAGAATAGAGGAAGCAGGTAAAAAAATATATATATCAGGCCATAAGCAGAGAAAAAAAAAGCAAGAAGTCGACGAAAGAAAAGGAAAAAAAAGAGTTGAAACTTCGACGGCCTTTTTTTTTTTTTTTTTCGTGGCGAATCCGGGGGAAGACGGACTTTTATTATTCCGGTTCTCTCTGACTAATAAATGACTAAGCTATGACATAAGCATCTCCCCTCTTGATGTTTTTTTTTTTCTTTTTTGTTTTGGTCGAAAAAGAAGACGAAGAAAAGGAGGATATCAAGATCTCTACGTCCCGGTGTTGAACTACAACATTCTTTCTCTCCAGTCTACAGCCACCATAGCAAGGGGCGTCAGGCTGTCTGGTCAGCTGGAAAGTACTCGCGCTCATCTGCCTCAGACGAGAGTACCCTGTCGCCTTTCCCTTGTTCCGTTATCTTTTATAGATCAGATCTACCCCCGCCATGGCTAGCAATCTAGCTCCAATTGCGCAGCTTCTGGAGGCCAGTTTGGACCCTCGACAGCACAAACAGGGTAGGTTAGCTCCCTGATTAGCCCTAGGTATTATGAGGATGAAGAAGCTGATGTGTGGCTGCATTTTCTAGCCGAGGCTGCCTTGAAGCAAGAGGAAGCTAAGCCCGGGTTTTCCCTCCAACTTCTGCATATCACAGCATCCGAGACGTTTGCATACAACACCCGTCTTGCCAGTGCACTTTGCTTCAAGAACTTTATCAAGAGGAACTGGACCGACGAGGAGGGCCAGTACAAGCTACCGGAGAGCGATGTCGTCACCATCAAGCAGGAGCTGATAAGCTTGATGATATCTGTGCCCACTGGCATACAATCTCAGCTCGGAGAGGCAGTCAGTGTCATTGCAGACAGTGACTTTTGGGAGAGATGGGACACACTGGTCGATGTTTGTCTTCCCTTTCTATATGATATACATATGGAAACCTTGATAGCTAATCTAACATTTCGCCTCAGGACCTTGTATCCCGATTGTCACCGGAGAATATCAAGACCAACATCGGTGTCTTGCAAGTAGCCCATTCCATCTTCAAGAGATGGCGGCCCCTCTTCCGCTCCGATGACCTCTATAGAGAGATCAACCATGTCCTTGGGAAATTCGGACTACCATACTTGGCTTTGTTCGAGGTAAGAGCTACTTTTTTAAAAATTTAAACTGTCATTGCCATTGTATTAATACATCGTAGTCTCTTGATGCATACATCGAGAAGAATAAGGATAACAAGGAGAACCTCATCCTCGGGTTTACCCAGCTCAACCTCATGGTCAAGCTGTTCTATGACCTTTCGTCCCACGACTTGCCTCCCATGTTCGAAGAGAATCTAGGAGCAATCGCGACACTGTTCCTGAAATACTTAATGTACGACAACAAGCTATTACACACAGATGATGATTCGGAGTCTGGTGTACTGGAATTCGTCAAAGCAGGAACCTTTGAAGCTCTCACCCTCTATGTTCAAAAGTACCTTGATGTTTTCGGCTCGCTTGTTGAACAGTTCATTGGCAGCTCATGGAATCTGCTTACCACAATTGGCCAGGAGACAAAGTATGATATCTTGGTTAGCAAAGCGCTGCAGTTTTTGACATCTATTGCAAAGATTTCAGAGCACGCGGCGGCGTTCCAGAACGAAGGAACCCTAGGTCAGGTCACCGAGAAGGTCATCTTACCCAACATCACCCTTCGAGAGTCTGATGTGGAAATGTTCGAGGATGAACCCATCGAATTTATCCGAAGAGATCTTGAGGGCTCTGACAGTGATACAAGACGACGAGCTGCCACCGATTTCCTCCGACAGCTTCTCCAGAACTTCGAGGATTTAGTCACTACAGTGGTACTAAGATATGTCGAGCACTACTTGGCTGATAATGCCAAGTCTCCATCTGACAATTGGAAGTCTAAGGATACCGCAGTTTACCTGTATTCCTCCATTGCCGCTAAAGGCGTTGCAACCGCAAGTCATGGCGTCACCACTATCAACTCCCATGTCAACATCACCGAGTTTTTCCAGAAGAATATCGCTTCCGATCTAGTTGCCGAGACTGGTGTGCAGCCAATCTTGAAGGTGGATGCCATTAAGTACCTCTACTCATTTAGAAGCATCATCACCAAGGACCAGTGGCGGGAGATTATGCCTCTATTAGTGAAACATCTCGCATCTTCAGACTACGTGGTCTACACCTATGCCGCAATTGCTGTTGAAAGAGTCTTCGTCCTTACCGATGCTTCTGGTGCTCAAATCGTTCCAGCAAGTGAGATTACCCCCCTGGCCGGACAGCTTCTCGAGCATCTCTTCCAGCTAGTTCAGAAAGAGTCATCCGCACCCAAAGTTCAGGAGAATGAGTTTATCATGAAGTGCATCATGCGAGTTCTTGTGGTAATCAAGGATGCTGCTGTTCCCCAGACAGAGTCCATTCTCAACCATCTCATCCGGATTACTGAGATTATCAGTTCCAACCCAAGCAACCCACGTTTTTACTACTACCACTTTGAAGCTCTGGGCGCACTCATAAGGTATGATATGATGCCTCCTAATTAATTGCAAGGTAAATTGCTCACCTTTTTGTTAGGTTTACTGGGCCTTCCCAACCAGATAAGCTTGGCCAGGCCTTGTATACTCCGTTCTTTACTCTCTTGAGGAATGATGTGTCGGGAAAGTTACCCCTATTCTTTATGCGTGTGCTTCCGATAATAACATCCTACAGAATTTATGCCATATGTATTCCAGCTGCTAGCTGCGTTACTTGAAGTAGACCCCACTGGCTCATTCCCAGACTACTTCAAGGATATGATTGCCCCCATTCTTGCGCCAGTTATGTGGGAACAGAAAGGAAATGTTCCTGCACTAGTTCGCCTGCTGCAAGCTATCGTTCGACGTGGGGCGGATATATTGAGCAAAAACAACCAAATTGAGCCCATATTAGGGATCTTCCAAAAGCTAGTTTCTTCCAAAATTAACGAAAGCTATGGCTTTGACCTTTTGGAAACTGTGATTTCGACATTCCCCTCGTAAGTTCCGTCTATATATGACCCTTGAAATCCTGTTTCAACATCCGACTTATATATTATTCTAGGGCTATGCTACAAAGCTACTTCCCTACAATCCTTCAGATCATCCTTACCCGACTTCAGAACTCGAAGACTGAAAATTTCTCACTCCGTTTTGTTCGATTCTACCACTTCCTCTCAGCTCACCTAGAGAATGGGTACGGAGCCGACTTCTTCATTCAATGCACTGAAAATATTCAAAACGGGTTTGCTTCTCCCCACCTTTCATCATTAGTGACTACGTGAATTTCTAACATTTTTCTAGTGTTTTCACCCCCATTTACCTTAGCATAATCCTTCCGGAATCGAGGAAGCTTGCTCGCCCTCTTGATCGCAAAATTGCAATTATTTCATTTGCCAAAACTCTTGCACACTCTGAAGCTTTCGCCTCCCGGTACAAGAAGGGATGGGGTTTCACATGCGAGGCCCTACTATATCTTCTCGACCAACCGATCCTGCCTACCACTGGTGACGACATTGTAACCGAGCATGATGTCGAAGACATGGCATTTGGAGTTGGATTCACCCAGCTAACAACCATTAAGATGCCACCTAGAGACCCTTGGCCAGAGACTGGCCCGCAAGTCGGCCAGTGGGTTGCTACTTACCTGAAGGAGCAGAACAGCAAGAATAATGGAAAGATTCAGAACTTCGCTCAAGAGAGGTTAGATCCTCAGATCTTACCCGGTTTGGCCAAACTTCTCGCATAGATTAAGGATCTTTCATGATTCGAATTTTAGACGGCCAATGTCTTGCCTGAAATACCAGAGTTTAATAAGGACGAATGTTTATTCCCCTATATGTTCACAGATGATGATACCGATGACGGTGACGACGATGTAGAAGAATTCAGGTAGTTCAAAATACAAACTCATATCCAGACCGAGCCCAAGTTAATAGTACATCTAATTCCCAAGATAAAATAACAACTAGTTGAGCACCCGCTAACAACCCAAATTATTTCTCCTCCTCGCTAACCTTTTCATTGGCTTTACCTGCTTCCTCAACTTCCTCTATACCATCTGCTTCACCCTCACAAATCTCTCCTTCCTCCTCCAATCCAGCTTCTGCCCTTTTCTTCCTCTTCTCCTCCTCCAAAGCCCGATACTTCCTTTTACTTTTCTTCATCTTACTCGCCTTCCTTTTCTTCTTCACGTTATTCACTATAGCCGCTCGACTCTGTTCTCCTTTCTCAAGCAATTCTATCTTCTCAGCGAGTATCCTCTTCGCGATTTTCCGGTTCTGTGATTGGGAACGTGTTGCTTGACATTTCACAACCGTGTTTGTTGGTATGTGAATGAGTTGTACGGCCGAACTTGTTTTGTTCTGGGATATAGTAAGTATATATTTTTACCATATATTGCAGTCATTAGTTATGTATCTTCTATTGCAGCGCCGTTTTGCTAATCATATATGCACCTGATCATCCCAATTGGTGAAACAGCTAGTTTGTGAAGGGCAACTAACGACCGTGGAATGAGTGATTGACTGACAATTTTTTGGCCCCCTGGGCCTGATCCTTTGAGGTAGGTTCCAGTTATTTCAGATTCGTCTAGTGTTGGGCGTGGAGGCATCTGCTTCGCTAATGATAGGGGCGAGGCCTGGAAGAAACGCACATGGCCAGCATATTGGATTAATTGCCATTGAGCGGTTCGCTTGGATATATGTCTGAATGGGGCTTGTGGGTATATTTTGAACATGATGCCGACTATCAACCGCGGCGATGGATAGATGTTGTTGACATGGATGGTTTAATTTCATCGAGTCCGAAACGGCAGCCGTTCCCTGCAGCTTCCGTATAGTCAGTTACATAATTCCTATTGGTTAGTTAATTAAGCCCAACGTCCTTCCAGACTTGACTGCATTAGCTTTCCCATTAACGACTTTTTATTGGCCTATTTCATGCCTGCAACAACGTGACAGAGATAAACTGAGCAGAGACAATAGCTTACATCATCAACCCCTTTCTACAACCCCCTATAAAGTATTCGTTCATGGAGCAGAGAAACATTAATATAGTACAAAGTCCTCGCCTATTTCTGGAGTATCTATAGCCTAGCGGATAAAGTAGAGCATATAGTCGGCTTGCACGGTTTGATCTTCTGAATAGTATCTAGATGAAGAAACACTCAAGCTCCAACAGGGTGTATTGGTTTGATATAATGTATTCAGGATGAACATCACTTTTTGAGGCGCTGGAGGATGTATTGTATAGTGTTAGGGAAGTAAAGTCAAAATAAAATAGTATGGCAGGCAGCACCACGCGGCGGGCGATATGCTGTTGGTTGTTGTTGTTGGCTTCGGCTTAGATTGAAACGACAAGTTAACTAGATCTGCTGACTTAGCAAGGACCTTGCCGCAACTTTTTTATTTTATCTCCAAAAGTTCTCGCGATAACAACAATCACAGCAAATGCGCAATTTAAGCAATTAAGTCCTTCATTTCTATTCCGTACGACGAAGTTATTCGTTTCACTAGACTGCCTACATCAGGGCAGATTTCTCGGACCAAAAAGCTGTCCCAAGACCGCGGCGCTTGTCAAGTCAACCGAGTCCACCATGTCACAAGGAACGGCATCTCCAGGGGTTTTCATGTCTTTCTTCCGGTGGCTCCGACTAAAGAACTACCAGTATGAGGTGACCTTCTCACTCTACATGTTGACTCCTATTGAGAAAGTAGTTTTCAGTAAGTATAGCCTGACCTTGTATACCTTGATCTTCTTTCGGTGCTCACCTCCTTGGATTATCGGACGATTTGGCTAACAATCCACTGTCCAGATACCATCCTTATCCTCTTCATTTCCATGCTCATCACTGCCGCCTACATATATCTGCCTGACCACGTACTTTCTCTATACCGACATATCAACTATTACTGGGCTGGGCAGCCGGTCGCTGACCAGATTGCGCTACATGCGGCTAACATGAAACTCTCTGCCGCTACTGCAACTGCCGCCGCCACGACAGCTGAGGCGTTGAAAGAATTATGAGTGATACTGGATTTAGCGACTTATATGAGCCCATGGATTACTTCTGCATGTTTATGTTATACCTTTTAATTGCACTTCCATGTGCTTAATTTTCCTTTCGGACCTCCTTTCCAAGCTATGCTCCTTTTGATGGTATTGATCTTCTCGACGACGGCCCTTTGTTGTGAATTACTGCTAGCGGATATCCGGCGCTTTTTGAGCGAATATGTGGTATAATGCCGTGTTTCTTGTATGTATAGTATATTATTGATTGCTGTATGGCACCCCTTTTCCAGCTACATCTCCCAGGCTCCTGAATCTGTTCTATCCCAAGTTCACAAATATAACTTGATGCACCGTGTTTGAGATGAGATTATGCATGTAAATTGTGTTTCGCGCAAGTCTTATGCCGTCGACATGAGTCGTTTAAACCCGAGCTTGATATAGCTTCTTCACCCAGTGTAACTCCACAAAACCATCCAAACGCCCGCAAATGTACAATAGGTTGTATGATACAATGTATAAACAACGCTTCCTTCTCCATACATGGATGCACATGCACCATTATTCGGTTGTCGAATTCGAAGTTGCAGCGATATTTTCGAATTCCTTTTGGATTCTCTGCTTTTCAAGCAATCGCTTTGCTCTCTGCTCATTCATCCGGGCTAGTTCCTTGTCTATCTCGCCTTTGTCTGCAGGTATTTTATGGGAGTGTGCTGTGGTCGGCCAGAAGTCGGGGACACTGAAGCGTTCCTCCAGGTTCGTGCCAAAGTAGTACATCCATCCTATGGGGAATCCAATATAGAGGCCGAACTAGAATAAATACCCCATTAGTCTAAAATATGATAATATATTCCACCAGAACAGTTGAATATGATCCAACATGGCACATCGGATGTGCTCTATGGCTTACCTTGAAAACCTCCAGGTTCCCGCCCTGTAGCCTGCGCAGAATGCTGCTGAACATGTTGCCGGGTTCTTGGTTGAGAATAAGCGTGGAAATGTGCAAGCCAGGAGTGTTAACCTGACAATGTGGTCTCAGATGCTGGTAGGATTGCGAAATGCGGCCATGCCAGCAGCTTTCTGCCTCTTCTCTGCTTTCCTCGACCCTTCTTTTCTCGTTCCCATATAGCCAATCAAACGCTTCCATTTTAAATACGAAGCTTAGTCATAGACTCTCGGTAAATTATTATTCCTAACACTGCTTACTAATCATCGTCTCTAAAGAAATGCTTAGGTAATCTTAATCTGTCCAAAATAAGGTTTGTTGACTTCCAACGAAGGGATGAAGAACTCCGTTGAAGGTAAACGAGGCGAAAGGTAGTAGTTAACTACCTTGACTAACTACCTCTAGTGGAGCGTTGGGAGCGGCCAAAAGTCCGAGAGACACAAGGCTACCAGGGCCAGTGAGTAAATGTAGGCGTCTATAAGAGTCGAAGCTGCTGCCAGCCCAATTGCATGCTCTCCCTCCGATGCTACTTAGGACCTCCATACTCAAGCAATAACCTTAGCTATGTCTCCGCCATCAACAGGCATGCCGTTGTCAATCACCATGGCAGACCAAGAAAAGAAGAGGGTTGCAGCGCCAGATGCTGAAGACTTTGTCCAAAGAGTGCTCGAGAAGAACGGTGTACCGTCAGCAAACGCCTCTATTGTTGCCAAATGCCTTGTGGAAGCAGACCTCCGCGGCGTTGATACCCATGGCATAAATCGTATCCCATCGTACATGGAACGCATTCGTCAGGGCGTCCTAGACCCCAAAGCATCTCCTTCCCTGACTCAGGTTACTCCCGTCGTCGCCCGTGTTGATGGAAACAATGCTTTCGGCTTCATATCTGCCACCATGGCCATGGACCGCGCTATCGAGATGGCCAAGGAGTTCGGCATTGGCATGGTTTCAGTGCATAATTCGAACCACTTTGGTATGTCAGCTTCTTTCGTCAGACAAGCCGTTGATGCAAACATGATGAGCCTTGTTTTCACCAATTCCTCGCCCGCTTTACCGGTTTGGGGAGGAAAGGAGAAGCTTATGGGCACATCTCCAATCGCGTGTGGAGCACCATCTGGCCCCAACTCGCCTCCTTTCATCCTAGACATGGCACAGTCTGTTGCTGCTAGGGGGAAGATATACAAGGCTCACCGTAGGGGGGAGACTATACCTGAAGGCTGGGCTTTGGACGCAAACGGTTCTCATACTACTGATCCCGCCGCGGCTCTTCGAGGAGTAATGTTGCCCATAGGTGGTCCCAAAGGCTCTGCTCTCTCTATCATGATGGACGTCTTCTCTGGCGTGCTTTCTGGCTCTTCATTCGCCGGACATGTCACCGGCCCGTATGACCCGTCAAAACCGGCTGGGGTGGGACACTTCATAATGGCTCTGAAACCTGACTTGTTTTTGAGCTTGGATGAGTTCAAGGATAGAATGGACTATCTCTATAAGCGGGTTGTTACCTGCGAGAAGATGCAGGGGGTGGACAGGATCTACTATCCTGGTGAGATTGAAATCATAACTTCTCAAGAAAGAGCGAAAGACGGCATCCCGTATGTCCAAGCAGAGATCGACGCTCTCAATAAAGAGGCAGACCTTGTAGGTACCGGCCATATCGTTATTAAAAAGTAATTGGTACATGATACTTGGTTCCTTTGCCCAATATATATATATATATCTATGTGTATATTTATATCTCTAATGCATCATTCCACATGCGCTATCATTCCACATGGGATGTTTTGCTATGTCGTTTGGCTGGGTTCTTGGACTCCTGTCGTATACTTTCCCAACGTTGCCAGCCACCCTCGGCCAGGTCTTCCCGGGGAAGAAGGTCCCGAATTCTAAAGTATCTGACGGGCTGCAGATCCAAAGCCCATCCTAGCCAGCCGCTTTCCCGCAAGAAGCTTCCAATTCCAAACCAAGCCAATCCATAAGCGACCCCGATAGCAGCTCCAGCCACCACTTGTTGCGGAGTATGGTAGTTTAAATATATACGGCTCAGAGCAACGGCTAGAGCCCCCGCACAGGCTAGTGAGGATAGACCGACACGTTCGAGCATGCTAAGGTAACCGGACCGAATCGATGCAGAGGGTGTGTGGCGGACAAGCAGGAAAAGGGTGAAGAAAACAGCGAAATATCCCATAAATTGAGAATGAGATGATGGCATGCCATATCCCTTTCCATTCATCTCTAGCTTCAGTTAGTATAGCCGCGGTATTAACATTAACCGTATGTGGGTTGGGGAGGATGATAATACGGTTCGGTCTTTCTTGTTTAATCAATCTCTTCAATCCGAAATTTAGGACTTCACAAGAAAGCTGCCCAGCAAGCATGAAGATGATTTCCACTTCACGTGTAGCCCAGCATAGCGATACATAGGATATTATTAGGGCCTGTGGGACAAGAGCAAGAAAGGCGCAGATATACGAGATAGGGTCTTCGGGGTTCTATCCTCGGGAATTAGTATACAGCGCAAGTCTTGATGCCTCCAGGAACAGATAGTAATCCCACTCACATAGTTGACATGAGTTAGTGACAGAGACGCCACAGGGACATAATCTTTAACCATCCTTAGGCCAAGATACTCCCTAAGTAACCATAGAGATAGACGGACAGAAACAATATGCTAACTAAATAACAAGTTAACAACTTAAATATTTCATAGTAAAGGAATAAAGTGTGTCCCCAGCTACCTGAACAACAGACAGATAGACTGCTGGCTCAATGCACTCCTTTGGTAGGTTGTAGCTGATATGTTCTATGTAAGTGAAGCAAGTTGAAGCAGGCAGGCGGAGTGAAAAGAGGATGCCGCGGCTTAACTAACAAAGTTCAGGGTTTTTGGCTTCTGCTTATCGATAAGAACAGGACAAGGCGGTCCTCGGTGAGCCAAAATAGTTTAGCAGTCATCCAGCAACCCAAAAGTATTAGACAGTCAAGCAGATACTCAGACGCAGCAGCGAAGAAGTGACTTTCAGTTCAATCACTTCCTTCTTGTCTTGCAGCAGATACAGCAGCCGTCTCTTCGTACTATTCCCTGCAAGATTCGAGCAGAGATTCCTCTCTACAGCCCACCAGTTTCGGAGGGGCAAAAAAATTAAGGCCCGAAGTCCCTTTTGAGGCTCTTATCGGGCGTTATTCAGTACATTCCAGCTGCAGCCAGAGAGCCAGACCGAGTTACCTGTCTCGGTACTGCATCTCTTTTACTCATATTCTGACTCGTAGTTATAATATAACTACTCGAACGTCAAGTTTATCAACCAGGGCTGATGGACGAGGACACCGATGACGAGAGAAGCCAGGAGCTTCAGTCGATAGCGGCTATTTATCCCGAGATAGTCGTGGACCCTTCTACGCCATTTAAAGCGTCCCTTACTCTCCCAATAATACCAGTGAACCCCATAAAGGCGATATTCCGAAAGTCCAGTACCGAGGTCAGCATCTCCTGCCTTCCTCCACCTCCTCCGTCTACCGAGCCCAGCGATGTCGAAATGGGAGAAAATGGCATAAAAGAAACACAAGAAGCTGAGGAGGATGTGGATAATGAAGTTTACAACCTCGCACACCTTCCTCCTCTCAATCTGGGAATCGAGCTCCCCGAAGGATATCCAGCCGAGAAACCTCCAGTATTCTCGATATCAACAGACCTGAACTGGCTTCCCATCTCGAATATCAACAAATTAATCGAAGATGGAATGAGGCTTTGGGAAGAATCAGGGAATAATTTGATCGTGTTTTCGTACATCGATCACCTCCAAGTTGCGGCAGAAGAAGGTCTGGGTATAGGCAATGGCTCAAAGGACGTGGCTGTCTTTCCACAGAACTTGAAGATAAGCTTGCTCGACTTCGAAAATAAAGCTCGGAAAGAAGAGTTTGAACAAGAGACCTTTGAATGTGGAGTGTGCCTTGAACCAAAGAAGGGCAAGGTGTGCCATAGGATGCAGCGTTGCCTTCACGTATTTTGCGTCCAGTGTCTACAGGACTTTTATAACTCATGCATCAAGGATGGTGATGTTGATAATGTGAAGTGTCTTTCTCCTGGGTGTGGGAAGGAGAAAGCTGATAATAGCCAGCCTGGTCCACGGAAAAAACATGACCTGACTCTGCGTCCTGGAGAGCTGATACAAATACCCCTTCCACTCGAGACCGTACAACGCTATGCACGGCTCAAGAGGAAAAAGAAACTGGAGTCGGATAAGACGACTATTTATTGCCCCCGTCAGTGGTGTCAGGGTGCCGCCCGTTCAAAAAAGCATCCAAAACCGGTAGACCTGATTAACGACGAAGAATCTTCAGATGAGGAAGAAGATAATGCAGCTCCATTTGATCCACTAGGTGCACAGGAGCAATTACCACCAATGTCGGAACGGTTGGCTGTCTGTGAAGATTGCGCTTATGCATTTTGCAGTGTTTGCAAGAAAGGCTGGCATGGGCCGACGAGCATTTGTTTCCCTCGAAGGGAGAAAGAATTATCTGCGGAGGAAAAGGCATCCGAGGATTACCTAGACATATATACCTCCAGATGCCCCACCTGTGCTGCAAGATGTCAAAAGTCTATGGGGTGCAACCATATGATATGCTTCCAGTGCAACACTCATTTCTGCTATCTGTGCTCCAGCTGGCTCTTTGCAAATAATCCGTACGCGCATTTCAACACTGAAAAGACGTCTTGCTATATGAGACTCTGGGAGCTGGAGGGTGGAGACGGAGTAGGAGCTCCTCTCCATATCGAAGACCCGGACATTGTGAATGGAGAGATTGAGATGAGTGACGATGAAGATGATACTGCGCACCCACTAGCTGTTCCACCACCTGCACCAGTACCGCCAAGAGCGGGACCCCGAAATCGCAGACTACCACCACTTGCAGAAGAAGTTGGTCCAGCAAGGCTGGGGTTGCGTGGGGGCGATGCAAATCGACGCCGTGCACAACCACGGCGAGGTGCCAATGACAACAATAATAACCAAAATGGAGCTGAAGATAATGAGCAGGTACCTCCAGAGCAGCTGCGAGGGCTGCAGCGATTTCTATACCTTGTTCAGCATGACCAGGAAGACCAATGGGACAGTGACGAAATGGATGATGATTTTTGACCTTTACACCCAGATCCTGCCAGTGACGGATACATATTTGTTTCCGCTGGCAGGCTTGAATAATTCACA